ACTGCGCTTCCTGTGTTAATTCGGTGTGTTACTATGTCAGTTCTGCCTATGTCCTCTGGTGTGCTTGAAAATACATCTTCATACCTTGTCAGAAGTGAAGCTAGTATCATTTCTCTCATTTTTTGTACATGTCGCAGATCTTGTGCACTCCACAGTCTCACTTGTTTGTACAAAAGCTTCGCATGCTGCCACCACCTGGTTCTTTTGTATGGTTACCTCATCCTCGCTGTAATTTATTATGTTTACAAACAGGTCATCAGTCTGAGTGTCAACTACTCCGGGAACAGTCTGGACGCAGGCAGAGAAATATGGTTTGCCTTCTACATATCCAATTCTTGTAAGTAATTCAGCTGATGGTATTTCTACTGGAACTAAAACTCCTGAACAGGGTGGTAATGTGACAGAGGATTTTGTTAGAACGTTGGCATTGCCCTTGATGCGGCATTGGATCTCAGGACCATGACATGTATGGAGCACCATCCTTTGGTAATTTATCTTTGTGATGTAACTTAAAAGAAAGTCTTGTCCAAGGATCCCATCTTGTGAGATTTTGCAAATTACAAATTTGTGTGGCAAAACTTCTTCCCCAAAAGATACATCCAGTACAATGGCCCCGATGTTCTCTATTAAATTTCCATTTACATCTCGAATGTCAGAGGTTGCAGGCTATATGTGAGACTTGGTTTCCTCTGAGAGCTTAGTAAAAATTTCGCATGAAATAATAGATGCAGTAGATCCACTATCTACTAGAAAATCTATAGTTGTGTTAAATATGTTTCCTTTTGTATAAAATCCATTGTCCCAAGGGAGAGTTATTTCCCCTGTGTGGCCAGTCCTAGTATGTTCGATTCCAACAGGCTGCTTGTGCCGACTCCTGGCCTACTGAGACGGCACTCTCCCGTTTCCCTGGGGACACTGTCCCTGATTTCTGTTGTTATCTCTAATATTTCCATCCCCATGTCTTTTATTCGGGTTAGAGGTCATGGTCATTTGTTGTCCTCTTGTCCGTCGGTCGGGGCAGTCCTTCCTGAGATGATCTGGTAAATTGCAGATGAAGCAATGCCGATAGTTATTGCCCTTCCGGGGTTCCATTCTCTGTGCACCTTCCAGTTTTTCTACTCTATTGATTAGTGACCCGATCGTATGTTCTAGGTTGTCCGATTTTTGCTCTACAGTTGGCAGTTTGACTTCTCTTTCTTGATCCACATACCCAACATTTGTTCTTTTTTTTATCCCCATCCCCCATTATTGACTTATCTCTCAATGACGTCTACCGCTTCTGCCACAGTGCTACACTCCTTGTCAGTACAACGGCATTTCATTTCAACAGGAATAATTTTGAACAGGTGGTTCAGGGCTAGCGATTCCTGAGCGGCAATACCCAAATTACTGTAAGCTTTTTGTGATAATTGTCGTATATCATCTCCAACCTCGGCAATACTTTCTCCAGGCATACGCTTACGCATTTCCAGTTTTGATAGCCACCTATTTTTGAGTTTTGAGCTACCAAATCTCTGGTCCATACGCTGAACAAGTTTTAAACGTGCGTCTTTCCTCAAGTGTTAGGCTCATGTAAAAAGTCCTGGCTTGTCCGCGTAAACTAGCGGCCAAGAAAAGAAGTCTTGTCCTGTCGTCCCAGTGGCTTAGTTCAGCGCAGTCTTGAAAGTGAGAGAAATATTCCTCCCAACTTTCTTTTCCATTGTAGGGTTCGGGTTTGATCATAAGTGTGGAAACGCGAGTGCGATTTCTACGTGGGTTGTCAGCTAACTGATAATCAGATCGCCGACGGAAATTACGTCTTATTTCGTCGTCATCGTCATTGTCATGTCTTCCCAAAGGATTTTCATTTGCCATTAAATATTCGTCATCATTGTCCCTCCCATGGACATCTATTTCATCCCCTTGGCCTAACTGAATATTTTCCCTATGATCATTTATGAATACTTCAGGGTCAGGCGAAGTAGCATCAGCCATTTTTGACTATGAAAATGATAACAAGAACATATTTACATTGCTATTTACAAATAAATTCTTTATTCTCCACGACACGGCAGTCCGCAATCCACTCTACTAGACAGGTATTTAAGTTCGGGTTCGTATCCTAGATGTCCTCATAGATAGCAGGACATCCCACTTCTGACACCAAAAATTGTAACCTTCCTCAGCACCCTGTCAAATGCCAATCAGCTTACAGTGTTTCCATCCCGTGTAAATTAAGTTAATTATATTTTTATCAGGACTACTCATGACATCCGTCCATATATAAAGGGGGGGCATCCTCAGCCCATCGCATGTATTTAAACACCCTTGATAATTTACTTTCATCCTTGTAAATATAACCAAGTTCCATTTCTCGATTCAAGTATTTCATTTATTGAAGATCTCAATGAAACATAACAAAAACAGTCGGTACATCTATGAGTATAAGTCCTAACCGTAGTGTAGACAACGCCCATTCGTAGGTATAATAAGTTAACATAAATTAAACATCTTTGTACTAATAGAGTACAGTGGATTGCGGTGTCCGTGCGGTGGAGAAATAATAGGCTACTTAATTTGTATTAGAATTTACATTATTTTATCATACCTAAGTCGCTAGTGATATTTACAGCTAAACAGTCAGTGATGTTGATGACGTATTGTGATGATGAAACTGACGCTCGGCGCTCATAAAAATAACCTTCTATAATGGTCACGTGATCACAACAAACCAATGAATAATTGTCCTTTTTGGAGCCTCACGGAACTACTTTACATTGCATAATGTATAAAACAAAGAAAACAAGAAATCTGTGAGCCAATGCTCACTAGTAATACCCCCGCTCTGATGTAAATAAGCAAATATACACAAGTTCAATTACTGGGAAATGCACAGAAAAATATGAAGTTGACATAAAAATTAATCCCACCATATGGCATGCCTCAACAAAGAGCGTAATAAAATTTCAACCATCCGCTATGAATAGCTAATGAGAAAACTGCGATAAAAATTTGTTATGTATGAAACGGACAGACGCACAGACAAACAGGAAGTTGATATCCGATTTTAACAAAAATGTATCCCAACATATGGCATACCTTAAAGAAGATTGTGTTTAAATTTCAAGCATCTACAATGAGTAGTTGCAGAGAAAACTGCGACGAAAATTTGTTATGTATGAAACGGACAGACACACAGACAAACAGGAAGTTGACATCGGCTTTAAGTGAAAATGTATCCCACCATATGGCATGCCTCAGAGAAGACTGTGTTAAAATTTCAAGCATCTACGATGAGTAGTTGCTGAGAATACTGCGACGAAAATTTGTTATGTATGAAACGGATACATTGGATTTTAATTAATATATGCCTCAGAGAAGATTGTGTTAAAATTTCAAGCATCTACGATAAGTAGTTGCTGAGAAAACTGCGACGAAAATTTGTTACGGACGGACACACAGCTCCACGGACACACGGACACACAGACGGACGGACAGACACACAAGCCTAAAACAGTATACCCCCCTCTCCTTCGGAGCGGGGGTATAATAATGTCGCTGAAAATATCCGTTCTACATGTAAGGTAGGAGCTATCAATTCTATTTGATATACATAATAAAATAAGTTCAACAAACAATCTGTAATAAAACTGACACGCACAATCCACGGCGTAGTAATACCGGACAATAATGTAAATACATAAGTACTGCGCTACACATTCAAGTTCCAAAACATTTCGTCAAATAAAACATAATTAAATGACAATACTGCAATAAAATAACATTAAACTATCAATTATAAATATTTGAGAACACGGACAGTGTTATTTTAATCGTATCAATTGTAAAACAACAATGCTTATGTCACACGACTATTTCCTTCGTAAGAAAGATGGCAGGCGCTCAATATACAATGCACGTGATAATACTGGAAAAAGTAAGTAAATTACAGTCGTAATATGGTACATAATGATGAAAAACTGACATATAAGATCTTAATATCACTGTCCCTTACTGTCTGTTCAACAATATCTCACTAGATCGTCTAGTAACACAAAAACAGCATTTGTTTACATAACAACGTCAAAGTGCAATGTGTATTGCATCAATAATCCAAGTAAACGATAAAATGACAAAATAACATGAACAATAAAACATTTCTAATAATTTACAACTGGATGCTACTTTACATCACTAAGACAATATACTACACAAGCCTGTGAGTATTAATTATGCAATATATTCTAAAGTCCACCCCCACATATTATATGGTGACTAACCACTATAATATAACAACACTAAGCTGAAATCCACCCCCATACATAACACAGTCGAGTACTAGGTCCATAATATTACACTACTTATGTGCCAAGTTATATTGAAATCAGACCAAAACTGGAAGAGGGGTAGTATTTTTAAAAATTGTTGACAGCCAGCCGGACGGACGAAGGACACCTTACTATCGCATAAGATCTTCTGGTCTTTGACCAGTATAGCTGAAACTGAGATAAAATTTGTTAAGTATGGTACGGTCAGATGCACAGATTAACAGCAAACTGATATCAGATTCATACAAAAATAAATCCCACGACAATGTAGATTGCATGCCTTAATAAAGTATGTGTTAAATTTTTAGTAACTACTGCAAGGGTAGTTGCTGAGAAACTTCGATGAAAATTTGTTATGTATGGTACGGACAGACGCACAGATAAACAGGAAGTAGATATGAGATTTAAACAGAAATAGATCCCACCATGTGGCATGCCTCAGCAAAGTATGTACTAAATTTTCAAGCATCTGCGATTACTTGCTGAGAAAATTTAGACGATTTTGTTTTATGTATAATACTGACAGACAAAAAACAGGCAGTTGACAATTGGATATGAACAAAAATGAATCCCACTAGACGGCAATGAGTGGTTGCTGAGAAAACTGCTACCAAAAAATTTGTTACGGACAGACACACAAGGGTAAAGCAGTATACCCCCTCTCCTTGAGAGCGGGGATGACAAAAGAAATACCTGTTTGTATCCGTAGGACAATCTGCACAAGTGCATTCCGACAGGTCGTTGATGTTTATCTGAAGTGATTCTGCAATACCTAGTAGAAGAGGGAGGATTTTTTTCTTTTATATTCATGAGCAAAAAGGACAGAAAAACTGTTTAAACAGTCAAATAAAAATCGCCCTTTACCACTCAGATTGGATAAACAAATATTCCTTTATCAAGGTAATGCAAGTAAGAGTAAGAAGTTAAAACCCATCAATGAAAGTTCATGCAATCACATAGTGTACTCTACAGTCGCGGAGAGAGGGGTTTATCCTTACGTCGCAGATTTTATCCCTATAGTCCTTTAGATGAGACATACCATGTTATAAACTGAGGACTCGTGTGGAATAGGTGCTATATCGCAGGTTCGATCCCCCCTGGTCCTTTAGATGAGACCTGTCAATTGAGGCCCCGGGTCGCAGTTTGGGCCTCGGAGGGACGACCGTTTATGCGTTATTACTTAATAAATACTTATTAAAATATGTACATATCAACAAATTCCATCAAAATTAAAAGAACATAGTCTGTTTTCTCTACCTGTGTAATGACTTAACAGTATTGACTTACCAAACTCTTTAAAAATGGTTTCTCCGTGGATTTCTACCCAGTTTGTATTACTGTAAAACTGCTGAATTGTGTACAAACACTGCGCCATTTTCTCCCTTATAAGACCTACAGTAGACTCGGGAAGCAGGTTTTTAGCAAGATTTTGCATAGTTTTCCGAAGAGATGTACATAGTTGTGAGCTGCAAAATTACAAGGATAAGGTTAGATTAAGTATTCATTTAAGAAGGCACAAAGTATATTTTCTTCTCATTTTACTGTGCTATGTTTTTTTTTTAAATTAAGCAATTAAACACAAGCTGAGTGGTAGTTGTAATAGTTGTTGTAATCAAATAATGAAATTGTTCCAAGTTGTCTCAAAATCATTTTTACGTTAAACAAACGTTCAAACGAATTAATTTAAAAAATTGAATTAGCTTCACTTATGTACACCAAAGATGGTCTTAAGGTTCATGACATTCTCAATAAAGATAAATTTTCTTTTTGAAGACGACATCTATTATTTACAACAAATTATGTAAGCATTTGAGAATCAAGACTATAAATTAACATCTTACACACTGATAAATTTGAAATACATAGAATTATCAATGTTATTGGAACAAGTTCAACAAAACAAGACAATGATTTCTTTTAAAATATCAAATTGAAGGCTGTAAGGTACAATCTTTAAATGGACCTCTAGCAAAAATCAGTGGTTTAATTTTGTTTCATATACAAATGTAACTAATAACGCCTTTACAATAGATACATGTAGATACTTCCTTGTTTGGCAATCAATTTTAAATGACAATTTAAAAACACAACTCATGTATTTGAGACAAGTTAATTATAATCGTTCGGTTTCCCAATTTATGTTGATTTAAATGAAGAGGTCTTGTGTAATATTCAGATTCTCAACAGAAAAAATATAAAGAACTGGAAAGAAAATTTTAATAATTTTTATTAAATGATTTTTGTTTATTTTTTAAGCCTTTTTTTCAACAACTAAAACATAAAATTCTTTAAATTCTTTTCTGAATACTGACCCATAATGATTTGCTCCCCGTTGACGTGGAAGTGAGCCATACTAGAAAAATGTCGTTGAATCTCGCTTTGATGATTCGTTATTTCGTAAATATTTTTCAAAAAGTGTGTTTGAGAATCAGCATCTAAACATATAAAATCATTAAAACATAACATACATCTTCCACTCTTTTTAACCGCAACTTGAAAGCATACATGCTCTTTGTTTCCCTTAGGGTATATGTGAAATAAATGGTAAAAATTGACACGTTAAGTATAAATTCTTATATAATTCTTGTGAAACGGCAAAATATTCTGCATGTATTTTTCTCTGCAAGCAAAACTCTCTCATGTTTAATGTTTTAGTGCAAAAACTGTTTGATGTCATAAATTTCTGAAAACTGTGGTACAAGTGCTTCGATAAAAATTAAACAATTTCAAAAAAATATTTCTTCCCAAAGTGAAAGCAACCAGAAGTTTCTGAGGGACGACGAACGCTTAGCTATGCGAACGCTTTTTCTGCTTCTTTTTGACCAGTAAAGCTAACTGTTTCCAACAGTTGCGATACGATATCATAATATTATGTAATAACTAACATGAACGAATAACGCATCGTATCAAAATGAAAGAAATAAAATGTTTCCAATTTATATTGCGGAGGTTTAAAAAAAAAACTGACATTAAATGGTCCTTTTATTGTGAAAAGTCTATGGGCAAATTGTCTTACCGTTACCAAAATATTCAGTTACAGTTGCGGATGGTGAAAGTCCAGTTCCAATGGCAAGACTATGATTAAGTAAAATTTTGTATGTAGAGATATAAACTCCATATATATTTAATACATGATGAGATCTTGTTCCAGATTCTCCTTGAACTGGGTTCAGAGGGAAACCGTGCACAATGTTCGACACGTGGTAACAGACGCATAAAATAACATTCAGGAAGATAATCATGATTCGTCACGGCGTTAATGTAACTATCTGTTAAACTCAACTAAAGCTTTGTACATGTATTGCACCAGAAATAGAACCAACCAAAGTTAAAAGGGGCATTCCCAGTTAAAACAATGAAACATGTGGAGATAACGAACAGTCTTCGAGTTCAAAATTCCATCAAACAACACAAAAAAGAACCAGAGCAAACACGGACCTCGAAAACATTGGAGGTGTGATCAGGTGCCATGGAGGAGTGAGCACCCCATGCAGACCAGTCACACCCGCCGTGTGCTCCTTCAAGGCTTGTCAAGATCGGGAAGTATCGGAAAAATCTGTCGTAAATTCAGTGTGTAAATAATGGACTAACAATTAGTCAGCTAGCATTTGACTCGGTGATAAATTGTATTTGCTGACAAGGTCATTGTATCGACCATAGAACATACGAAATGATGACTTTAAACTATAATTGCTAATTTTCTTGTTTCATCACCTTATTTGTCAATAATTTACCTCGTTTTAGATATTGTTCATACGTAGAACATGCTCTTGCATATCGAATCAACTTAGATACTGTACGAAGAGGAAATACGCCCCCGTTTTTTTCCGCCCTAATAACAGTTGGGCGAATTCAACGAAAACAGTATGATCTCTTCCACAGAACAATTTGAAAGGGGTCAAATTGTTTGCAAGTGCAAAAATAACACCGGGCGAAAATGACCCTGTTTACAATATATAAACTCCGTTTGCAGTTGATGGAGGTATACTGCTGCATAAGTAAGGGAAGTTGACGATAGAATAGGCAACGTCATTACGGTTATCATAGCGCTTGGTTGGTATTTACCATTAACGTTTTTTTTTTCAAGTAAAATATCCAAATATGAAACAGATGTACCAGACTGTGAGTAATGTATTTATTCTTGTGGATAATTAAAAGAGCTGATAGGTCAATCAATTTTATTCATTATATCCCCCCCTCCCTTCTGGAAAACCAGGTGATGTACATGTACAGTGATGGGGTGTCCCATCTTCGTGAGCCAAGGGTTTCTGATACGCTACTCTCCTCATAAACCATTCGCATACGGTGATGTGAAAAGAGGGAATTGTTTTCGTCACGTGATCTCGAATTTGAACAGGTACGCACAGATTGCGACATTAACAAAAACAAATAAATCAATAGAAATAAATAACATATCTTAACCATGAAAGTTTTAGAAGAATAGAAGTTAGAATAATTAACGAGGTATTGATTTTTCATTTGATATTTTAAAATGCAAATATGCATGAGCAATAAAAGAAATAGTTATAACTATGTATTTATTAAGTGTTCACTTCACTCAAAGTCATGGTATGTATCACGATATGTATCGATCATTCACTGTCTTTGTCTCTATAATACGGTTTTACAATTACTCCTCCAAGAAAAGGGTGTCTCTTTCCTTAAGTCGCTGTGTTTCCTTTTCTAGCTCTCTATTCCTTTGCTCTAACGCTCGTCTCGCTTCTCTTTCTCTCTGCCGTTCCCCACCTTCGAGTTCCGCGAGTCTCCTCTCGGCGATTTCTCTGGCAAGTCCCAGCTGATCTATACTGTTACAGCAAAACCCGGTTATAACAAAGTCGCCGGGACCTTTGAAATTACTTCGCTATATCCGTAATTCGTTATAACTGTGTAAGAAATTCATTAAATTTATATATTGAAGATCCAAAATGACTTCGTTACATCCGTGAATTCGCAATATCTGTGCTAATGCTATCCGTACTAAACGAGATTTAGGTTACACATCCATTTCAGCAGCTCTTCTTTAATTGCTGTCTGGCGTTAAAGACTAGGATAGCCCCTCCAAGAGGTCTGAGTGGACACAGCGGTTCTTGAGTTTCCTTCCTGCATGGCATGATTGTACTCGAGGGAAATCCTCTTCCGCTTCAGTGGTTCTTGGTCCCTTTCACACGGTGGCTGATCCCCGACACTCCTTCCCTGATCCTCTCAGGAGGACACGTCTCCGCAACCTCATGCACTCTCGGGAGGACAGTCTTATTGGCTTGTGACGGATGCATCCTTGAAAGCAAAAAGTCCTGGGTCAATGTAACCCTTATTCTCCCGGACCATTGATTCACATTTCAGTAGAACAGTCTACACGCGTTGGGGATCCCTCTCATGCTTGGTCCTCAAGTGGGCCCTCATGTCCGACTTACGACGGCACTCGACCAAACAAGCATCCACTGGGCATAAAAACTTCCTGGACTGTATTCTGTGCCTCTCCTCCCAGTGTCTAGTAAATTTTGTCTTGGTGGGAACTTTATCCCATCACCGGACAAGCCATATTTCTAGGGTTAAACTTTACTTCAATAAACTTCGTATCGTATTGTCGTAGTACTTCGTTTATCTCGTCTAGGTCTGCAAACAAGTCACGGAAATCTTCTTCCATGAAGAAAAGTATGGAGATAACGAACAGTATTTAATCTCAATGTCCACAAAACAATACAAAATAGGAGCAAAGCAAACGCAGACCTCCGGAACACCAGAGGTGGGATCAGGTGCCATGGAGGAGTGAGCATCCCCTGCTGACCGGTCATATCCGCCGTGTGCTCCTTGTCATGATCGGGAAATAACGGAAAAATCCGTCGTAAATTCAGTGTATAAATAATGGACTAACAAATAGTATGAAAAACGTCAGTCAGCATTCGACTCAATCATAAATTGTATTTGCTGACAAGGTCATTGTATCGACCATAGAACTTACGAAATGACGACTTTAAACGTGGTTGTTTTTCCGACCTCTGAGGGAATGACCCGAGAAGTTTTGCACCACAACACAAAATAACTTATGATAAATGGTACATTTGCATTTAAAATTTAATTAAAATTTACAAAAGCAATATAGAATCTTGTTTCTTTTTAATTAATATGGATAAACCCCCATTATTTCCACTTTGGTGGTCGGTGCGAAGAGATCTGAATCGAAAAAATTAAATATTTCGATGTGGTCACACCCCTCGAACAAAATAAAATAACGCTCTATTTGTTCATTTTTTTTAAATTTTCTTTTTAATGGTGTGAATTTTATTTTGTTCAAAGGGTGTGGCCACAGCAAAAATTTGAATCAAAGACGAAAAAATGCTAAATTTTGATAAAAAGTGGCAAAGATCACGTGTTTAGACGTTTACTGCACAAATATGACGTCATCAAATGAAAATTTTGGCGTAAACTTCTCAAGTTTGATACCTAAGGATAATATTTCCGTAAATAATTTTCTTCTACATTTGGTGCTGTCATGGACGGTCGCACGGTACGCCATAATCAGATAGGGAAGTGATCATCCCAGTTTGTTTTATTTTCATCTACAAAAAAGGCCAACATCTGTTGTAAAGTGCAATTGAACCTTTCAATCATCCCGTCTGATTGGAGATGGTATGGCGTAGTACGGGATTTGGCTATACCTAGGAGAGAGCAAATCTCAGAAAATAATTCTGACTCGAACTCCCTTTTTTGTGAATGCAGTATGGTGCTCCAAATCTGAATATAAACTCTGTTACCAATTTGTCTGCCACGGTCTGAGCCATATGATCAGGCAAAGCAAAAGCCTCCTTACATTTGGAGAAGTAATCTCTAATTCCCATTATATACTAATTGTCTTTATTTGTCATTGGTAAAGGACCGACTATTGCAATGCACTCAAGTGGCCCATTTACTGTTACGTGCTGCATAGTAGATTTTCCTATCCCAGGTTCTGGTTTCTTTCTAGCATATGGTTGGCAAGATTGACACCAACGACCTATGTCATCTGACATACCTGGCCAATATAATCTACTTTTAATAGACTGCATGTTTTCTCTCGTCTTAGGTGACCCGAGGTAGGATTGTTGTGCAGCTGGTACATTATCTCCCTTGTCAAAGACTTAAGTGCAACCATTTGGAGTATAGCTTCTTTGTTATTATTTTCCCACTACCGGTACAGTATGTTGTCAACAACACTTAGGCTATCCCACTGTTGAAGTAAACAGTTTACTGTTGAATAAGGATTATTAACCTTGGGACGTTCTGTACACTTCAGTATAAAATGCTTTACTTGGCTAATAGGTGGGTCATCATCCTGTTGGTTTCGAAGAGATTCTAAACTCCATTGTTGCAGGCAGTTTGATACTGGTCGCGTATTAGAATCACCTTTAGGATGTACACTTGTCACAACATTGAATGAACATTCCGTTCCAGTA